AGAGAGAGAGAGATGAGATGAGAACCGTGATTCTCGAGAAAGCGATGAGCCTGGGACGCGTCGCGAGAGCGTCGAGAGATCGCGAGAGGGAGGAAAAACCGAAAAGGCGACGCCTGAGATAAACGGCTCATCCCTCGTTCTTCTCCTGCGCGTCATCCCTGCGCCAAATCCAATCCCGGTTCGTCATCCCCGCGCGCATACGAAAATCTCGAGATTAATTACATTCGCGTCTCACGGCACCGCCGTGCGTCAACAAGTCGTATGTCTTAACGGTGCGGCCTCGTTATCGTTGCAAAGTATAAAATGAAAAAGTATATGTATATATTAAAATAAGTAAAACTCTTTTTCTCGCATTTATTTTTCTTTTTCTATTATTTTTAAAGAATATTCTCGTGTGATCAGATAATTATTATTTTTAACAAAAATGTTTTTTAACAAATTTTTAACAAAAATGATGAATAAGGTGTAGAGAGATAATTTATTTTTTTTTTACATCTTTTCTGTTATTTATTTTGCGTTTTGTATAAGAAATAGAATTTGCAAAGCATATTGACATTCTTGCTTTATGGTTTTGTTAGTATTTATACTAAAGACACATTTCGAATCATGAATGATATTATCTTCAGTTTCATCGAAATAATTTGCTTTGAACTGCAATAGTCGCGATACAATATACTACCGTAATCGTCCAATTCACTATTATATTTTGCCGATTAAGTGGTCAGATTATATCGGCATTGTACTGCCGAGTCTCTAATCGAGGGATTTCTTGTCCACCGCTCTCGGTTTATGGTCCTTCTATTGTGGGACAATCGAGCGCGTAACAGTAAGGTTTCGGATCCTAATTGTATCGACGGCGGTACTCCAAACGATTTTAATAAACATTAAATTTTTATTTTTGCCAAAGATCATTATACTACAATTACAAGGGTGACTAATCCATCAGATCCAAAGTTTTAAAATTTTGAAGAAAGTCTTAACGTAAACTTATCAAATTAGTATTTTGATAATTAAACTTTAAACAAAAAAAAATATATTTATGCTATTAATTTAGACTTAAGTATGTTTACGCGAATATTATTATGATAATAACAATTGCTATTCTTGTCGATTTCTTCCCCCAAAGAATCTCTACTACCGACATGTTTTTGGGTATGCCTTTAGCATTTTAAGCATGATAGAGAATCTGCGTCGTTTGAATATAACTCATCCTCAGTCCTCCTTCCCCCCCCTCCCTCCCCGCTCTTACCCGGCCTCTTGAAGACGCCTAATAACCTTCCTACGCGACTGCTCGCGAAAGGAACATTTTCTTAAAGGAGCATTCAGGGCGCGCCTTGATGACGGCTATAGGTGGTATTATAGTAGCAGGGCTTACCCCTGGTGGTTTGCTACTTCCAGGAGGGAGTAAGATGAGTAAAGGAGGAGCGGAACTCGCGTGCGGGGTGCGGGGATTCGAGGCGAGGAGACATGACGAAAGGGGAGGAAGAACGGGTAGCGGGACCAGAGGGGGATATACAGGGAGGGTGACAGAAGGGTGGATCGCGGGAAGAGGCAGAGGGGGCTGGAGGCGTGCATCCATCCATATCCATCCCAGGGTGGCTACCGGGACTTTGATTACTTGTTTTAATCTTCCGACTGCCGACTGGGCGAGCATC